GCAAGCTATGGACCTGCCATCAAATGTCAGCTCTCAGACACTAACAAACTGCCTTGGGTTTGAAGTGGTGACTTCTGGGTAAAGGGCTGCTGGCAGAGTCAGGGCAAGCAAACTGCATTGTAAAGCTGGGACTAATTGGTGGGTGTTTCATAAATAAAATAAAATCCAATAACACTGCTGAGAAGGAGTCTTTAATTTACGTCTTCTCTCCTAATTTAGAATATGTAAAGCCAGAGACCCTATATTGTGGGCCAGGTCCTCAGCTGGGGTAAAGTTAAAGTTGGTGCAGTTAATGGAGCTACTCTGCTCTAAATCAGTTGTGCATCTGGCCCATTGTTTTAAACGTTTTCTTGTATTAATGCCATTCAGATATGAATGGTTGGAAAACAACTTTCTGAGAGTTACCTTGGGATTGTTCATCGGGTTCCCTCTGGTCTGAGAACAAGCATTTTTTTAAGGGGAAAAAAATCAGACTGCATTGTTTTAGGTCCCATCCCTTTCTATGTACCAGAAGCAGCTTTTCTAAACCATGTTGTAGGAGCTGCTCAAAATGGCTTTATGCTTCTGCCTTTTCTTTAGATATTCTGGGGTGGGGGGGTCAATTAAGTACTACCAAAAAGCAGTTGTTCCTTTTCAACCCAAGGATTCTTAGGATCAAAGAGAACAGGCCCAATACTGGATATAGACTGTAAACTCTTTGTACCAGTTCAGTAGGAGCCCCAGAGTGCTGTACTGATGGTTAATATATTAATGATTTGGAAAAGGGGTGAGAAGTGAGGTGGCAACTTGCAGGTGGAACAAATGAGATTAGTAAAGACCCAAGAAGACTGAGTAACTTTAGTCACCTAAGTTAATGAGCCACATGATGCCATATACAAGTACCTGTTAACAACTACCAAGTAATTAACGCTTATTGAAAGCAATCATCTGAACTGCTCAAATATCTGACTAGATCCTAAATTAACTATAAACTCAAAGAAAAGAGCTGGGTATCCTAATGGACAGCTCAGTGACTATCTCTAGTCAATGTGCAGTTGAGGTCCAGAAACAGAGAAAGTGAGGATGCCTAAGACTGAGAAAATAATGTGGGAAAAATTATGCTATTATATAAATCACGGGTATAGCCCCATCTACAATGATACTGTGTTCAGTTCTGATCATTCTTCTCAATAAGGATGGATGAGACACAGGAAGTTTCAGTGGCAGATGATGAAAATGAAGAGGGACCTGGAAACACTTGCATTTGAAGAGAGATTTTAAAAATTGGGCCAGTTTAGCAGAAGAAGGAGACAAATATGAGGGAATATGATCAAAGTGTACAAATTAAAAAATGGTATGGAGAAGAAGTGTCTATTCTCCATTTCTGATCACACCAGAATGAGGTGACTTTCAATGAAACTGAAAGATTGCCAATTCAAAACCGAAAAGAAAATACCTTTCCATACAATGCACAATTAGACTTGAACTCATTGGTGCAAGGTAGTGTTAAGGCTGTGGTTCCCAAACTGGGGTTCACAAAATGTTACAGGGGGTTCTCAGGAAAAAATTCCCTAATGGCGGAGAGAGCTGTCCCTAGGGATCCCGGACAGCACGGGGCCAGCAGGAAGCCCCTGGACTTCCAAGAGCTAAGCAGATCAAAGCAAGCATATCTATCACACTGAGGAGATTTAAACTTCAAGACTCCTTATAAGAAATGGAAAGGGAGGTGGATATTTGTTGCTGTTTTTAAAATTCAATAGGCAGCTAGTATTGTTTTTAAAATTATTATGAAGAACAAGTTTAAGCTTTGTTGTAATGTGAGTTGTTTGCCCAGACTGCTCAAGACCTGAATGCTTGTGTAGGAGGAACTCATTGAGTTGGCTTCTTGATTCTTCATGCTGTTTCACATCTGATACTCCTTGATGAAACACAGGAGCCTTGTCTTATAACAGGCTTATTCAAAGTGATACAAGCTACGAAAGTGAGATCTTGGAAGAGTGTTGCTGTTTTCATAATATAATAAAAATACTGTAATGATAAATAATAATAAATAGTGTGCAATAAGCATGTCATAAAAACAAATTTTATATTTCCAGGATCACTGCCTTTATAATTTATACTCAGGTAAAGGAGAAAATCCCTGGAAATATTAATTTTTCCGAGGGGGTTCGCGAGACTTGACATTTTATTGAAAGGGGTTCACAGGTTGTTAAAATTTGGGAATCACTGTGTTAAGGCCAAGAGCTTAGTAGGATTAAAAAATGGATAATGTTTATATGGATAATGTTTATATGGATAATACAAATGTCCAAAGTTATAATTGATAACATTTTGGAAGGACATTAAATCTCATGCTGTAGGGCATATCCCAAAGTAACTATTTGAAGTTAGGCACAAACTTTTCCTGGGACCAGGTTATTCTATAATTGTCCGCTTCAGGGTTTCTTCTTTCAAAGCAGCTGGTATTTGCCACTGTCAAATACAGGATGCTGGACCGGATGGACTGTTGATCTGATTCAGTATGGTTCAAATGTCACCAAAGTGTAAACCCCTACCTCTCCCCAAGAGAGACATCACTTACAATTATTTAAAAATTAGGTGAAAGGTCAGGGATTTTCTCTCACTATGTGTATAGTTTTTAACACTCTGCAGGCTTTTGATCCTGTTTGGGGGGTCTTTGTATATTACTTTCTACAAATAGCAGAAAAAATAATTATATGCCATATTCTCACTTTTGGCAATTACAAACAATGCACTTATATCTTCAAGTTAAGAAGGTTACAGTATAACTTTAAAATTGGACAGAACATGCTGCTAGTGGCTTGTCTGAATTTATGCAAATATATGAAAATGTGCCAATTTACAAGTGATTGCTTTTACAGTTAAGGACGTTTGCAGATAGGGAATGATTACACTGCCATCAGATTCAGCAAACTATAAATCTTGCAACTCTTCCGACTTTATCAATCTTAATGCCACAGTTTCACCACTAGGTGGCTTTTTAACGAGCCAGGTTCTGGCGGTTCCTTTTCTTTCCTTGGTGCATCATGTATTTCGTAGTGGGTGGGATCTGTATTTGGTTGGCTCTGTGATTATTACATCTTCAGCCAGCTCCGGGTTGAAGAACCTCCTAACCTCTATGAAGGTAACAGAAATTGAACAAGGAAAGAGCTGCTATAGCGGAGGATTTCTTCTGTGCCCCTAGCCAACAGAGGATTCTTACTCACAATTTCTAGTACATTGACTGCCCGGGTGCTGGGGCTTCCACCGTTTTCTCATGGGAAATCATTCCTTCACATAACTGATCTCACCATCAGACAGTTTATTTTCCCGATATTCATTTTCAAATCGCTCTTTATTTAGGTAATTTAAACCTGACAAGAATCTCTCCCCAAGGAAATAGATGCTCTCTTTAGCAACCTCTGAAAATGTGTCTCTTGCCAAGAATTACAATGCAGAAGGCTTAACGTTTATTTCAGCGAGCAACACTCCCTTTTAAACCAGCACAGCCTGTTTGCAGGACACTACTTAGCCAGTTCCTTTTTTCCCCGAGGAGGAGGGGAAAAGAAATGAATGGAGCCAATGAGGAAATCAAAAGGGTGGTTGGTTATCAACCTAGAGCAGCAATCTCTGAGCGGGAGGTGGTTACCTCCCCTCTAGCTGTTTCATGCAGTGTTGTAGCTGTGTGGGTCCAGGATAGAGAGACAAGTTGGGGGAGGGAATATCTTTTATTGGACCTACTTCTGTTGGAGATAGAGACAAGCCTTGGAGCCACACAGAGCTCTTCTTCCTAAAGCTGAAGTAAGCTCGAAAGCTTGTCTCTCTCACCACCCGAAGTTGGCCCATTACACGACAGTACCTCGCCCACCTGGTCTCTCTCTACCTGTTCCAAACAGCTGAGATGCTCAGGAAGGAAGGTGTGGCCTTTCTACGCTCCTTGGAATCACATCAGCATCTTTTCCCAGTTTGGTTGTCCGACCTGCTCTAGCAGTTAGAACCACCCCCATGGAAACACTGTTGGTCTTTTCTCAGCCATCCTCTCCGGAGAGGAAAGGCTCCGTAAGCCCTGGCCTACACCTACCGGTGCCCTTTGCATCTTCATATGAACCATGCCCCCTAGACAGCTTTGCTTGTGGTGACACCCGGCACACGCTCCTCCTTCCAGCCAAACACAAGAGCTTTTGAAGGGCATCAAAGGAACAACACCGCCCACCCCAACTGCCACTTCTCACTTTCTGATTGCAGCGCCCACCCAGCAGAACCCCTCGGGTTTCCTGCAGCTGCCCGGCTGTTGGGGTTAGTTCAGTGCAAGGCCCTGGCACGCGGCCAGCCCCTGTGCTGGGGCAGGCCTGGCTTGCTGCCCAGGGAACGGCTGGGGAGTGGGGGCAAAAGATGATTAAGAGACAAAATCCTGGGAGCAGGGGCGCTGGACTGGGGGGGGGGGGGCTGAGAGCCATTGAACCAAACTGTGAACCCCGAATATGAGGGAAACCTCTTCTCCCGGCTTCGCCACCCGGGGACCCCCGCCAGCCAGCCTTGGGCCATGTGGGCAAAGTGGGGTCAGGCCCGCGGGGAGTTTGGTGCGGCAGCCCCCCCCCCCAACCCCTTTGCTTTGCGCACCAAACTCCCCCCGGGCCTGACCCCACGTTGCCCACATGGCCCAAGGCTGGCTGGCGGGGGGTCCCCGGGTGGCGAAGCCCGGAGAGCCCCCGGGCTAGGAGGGGAGAGAGACAGACGGGCTTCCCGTTCAGCAGCTCTCTCCCTGCAGGGCTGCTGCTCCGGCTGGTCCGCCCAGGCTTGTCCGCGCCCACTGGGGACGCAGAGCAGGGAGGCGAGCGGGGCAGCCCGGCCCAGGGCGGAGGCGAGCGGATCGGCCCCGGCCCGGGGGAGGCGAGCGGCTCTGCGGCTGGGCGCTGCGTGCGAAGCGCCGCCCCCACACTCCCCAGCCGGGCGGAAGCGCGGCGCGTAGCTGCCTCGGGGGCCGGGGCCCGGCGGCGCAGGGACCGCCCCGCTGCCCCGCGGGAGGAGGGAGCGGACCCGGCCGGCCCGGGCTGCGGGGCCATGGCGGTCGGAGCCCGCGCCCTGCTCGGCAGCCGCGGGGGCAGCCCGGCCTCCAGCCCCCAGCTGGGTGGCAGGAGCCGCTCGCAGCCGCCGCCGGCTCCGTTCGGCGCGCCCGGGCACGGCTTCCGCAGGGTGACCCTGACGAAGCCCACCTTCTGCCACTGCTGCACCGACTTCATCTGGGGGCTGGCGGGCTACCAGTGCGAGGGTAAGGGACCGCCTGGGGCTCCCCCTTCCCCTGGGCTACCCCCCGTGCGCCCTGCCCCGGGACACCCCCAGCCCGCAGATTCCCCCTGTCCACCTTCCCTGGGGTACTCCCTGCCGGGGCTACGCCTGCATACTCTGCCTGGGGCTATCCCCCTGTGCCTTCCCTGGGACAGCCCCTGCCGGCAGGTACCCCTACACACCCTGCCCGGGGCTGGCGGGCTACCAGTACGAGGGTAAGGGACTGCCCGGGGCTCCCCCCCTTCTCCGGCTAGCCCCCGTGTGTCCTGCCCTGGGACACCCCCAGCCTGCAGATTCCCCTATCTACCTTCCCTGGGACACCCCCTGCCGGGGCTAACCCCTATGCACCCTGCTCCAGGCTAGCAGTGTGAGGGTAAGGGACCGTGCCCGGGACACCCCCTACCCACCTTCCCCTGGTCCTACTCCCTGTGCGTCCTTCCCCTAGGCACCCCTGCCGGTGGGTTCCCCTATTTACGTTCCGCAGGACACCCCCTATCTGGGATACCCCTAGCCACCCTGCCCAGGGCTGGCAGTGCTACTGCCCAGAACACCCCTTGCCGGGGCTACCCCTGAACATTGTGCCCAGGGCTGGCAGACTACCAGTGTGAGGGTAAGAGACCCTTCCCCGGGACACCCCCTGCCAGGGGGTACCCCTACACACCTTGCCCGGGGCTCGCAGCCCCTGTGCCCAGAGCACTTCCTGTACCCCTTCCCTGCCTGGGATTACCCCTGCATATGCCACCTAGGTCTAGTGAGCTGCCAGTGCCAGGGTAAGAAACCCCTCCCCAGGGCACCACCATACCCCTGCCTGAGGTGACTGACCTTCGCTAGGGCTGGAGGGCTACCAGCACCAGGGTAAGAGTTCTCCCCAGCCAGGTCGTATGTGTGTGTCTCACATTGTTGGCTGAGCCTGCCTTTTCGCCCGCTTGTCTGGAGTCCTCATCTGTGAGTGTCTTATGGGGGCAGAGGGCTGCTCCCTCACACCCTTCCCAGGACTTCAGCCTGTCCACTTCAAATTGGGGTCTGTTCCATTTCTCACACTCTTTCTCTGTGTTGATTCACGTCTCACAGCATCTCTTGCAAGAGTATGCCTCTTTATACACCTGATTTGGGGCTGGGTGTCTCTGCAAGTTATTTGAAATCCTTGCTTTTTGGGTGATTTCTTGTGTCAGTTATAACTTGGTAAGGTTCTGGTGTCTAGCCTTTAAAATGTGTGAGCGCCCCATCTGGATTGATTTTCCCAAAGTGCCTGCCCAGGCTCAACCAGAAGTTACAAGCTTGATGGGAAGGAAAGGTCACTGGGAAATTCTCTGGCCTGTGCCCTGCAGGTGGTCAGATGACATGATCAGCCTGACCTTAAAAATTGTGAGTTCTACCCCGTTAAATGCTATAGCAACATTGTCATGATTCAGCCTTGCTCATATCCATGTTCAGTAACAATGAGTGTGTCCTATTGCTATGGGAAAAAGGTCACTTCCTGTCCACAATGAATGATGTACTCCGAAATCTGGTATAGTTGAGCAATCTTGTAATTTGGGGGGTATTGTTCAGCATTTGCCTTTTGCTAAGCATGGATGTGTGGCTCTACAGAAAAGGTTCCCAAATGTGGCACTGTGTGGGCAACTTTCTAGGAACCTTACAGCTGCACCTAATGTTCAGATAAATGTACGTAGAACTTGTGTGGCTTAAAAAAATCCTAAAACTAGAGAGGAACACCTATTGGGTTCCTTGGGAAGCTGTCCATGACCAACATCGATAAGATAGTTCTTCATAGACAGATGGCAGAAAAGGACATAAAACCCAGCTTGTTTTAGTGCAATATACGACAAAGACTTGCATCATTTAAAAAAAAAAGTTTGGGATGCTCTTCTCTGTTCCATCCTCTTTCAAAAAATATCTTCTGTCTATTTGTGGCAGCCTTGCAGTTTTATCTTCTATCTTTTTCTCCTCTCATTCCCCAAAGCTAGTAGCTGATTTTACAGACCAATATTACAATAGCTAAGAGGGCTTTTAGACAACCCCTCCTTCCCACTGCATTAAGGTAAAGAAAACTTAGAATTGTGGCTTTGGGTTGTTATATTGTGTTTGTGTGGGAGAAGTAACTGACCTGTAGTCTCATAGCCTTGTGAGCTGAATCTCTGCATTTGAGAGATGGCAAATCAGGGGGGCTCTGGGCTTCATTTTTGAGATATCGAGGGCTGTGAAACTATAAACAAAAATGTAGTTTCTTACAAAATAAAGCAGGCCTTGGATAACAATTGTGCAGCCTTAGTATTTATGACAGCTAGTATGGTTTACTGGGCGCTCTGGGGTGAAAGAAGGATCAAGTAGAATTCAGCAGAAGCCTCTGTGTTCTTTTACCTGGTGAGGGACAGTCTTGTGAGAATGGAAATTGTTGTCTTAAAGTTGTGCACTTCCATATGATTCAAACTTTTATTTAAAAAACATACTTTGAGTTAGAAATAACATTGCAGTCCATAAAAGGTTGTATTTTGTCAGGAAAATAGAATTATAAGAAAGCAAGTTTATTACTTAATATTTACAACCAAGGAGAAAACTTTAACTTTTCTAGAACTTGATTTATTTATACTGTCTTGTACTGGAAGGTTTTGCTAGATAATCATTTTAAATCAGTCTTTCTCTTGGAATTATGAAAATGTTCAGCTGCCTGTTTTGCACTTCTGAGTTTCAGACCGCTTTGATGTGTCAATGTGTGAGAAGAACAGGAAGGCTTTAGTCCATATTGTTGATTTCATTCTGCACTGAAAAATATAGGAAAAAAAAAAGAGAGAAATAACCTGTTGTGGGGGCTTGAATGTGAACTACTGCTCAAAGATTTGATACACATGTGCGGCAGTATACTTAATGTACTATACCTTAATTTGAAAACTGCACTAATAATCTGGTATTACGGTCATCTGTGAAGTCTGGCAGGTTAGAAATCCTGAATAGTATTTATCAATACCATTGTGTAATTCATAGATACTAAGGTCAGACGGGACCATTATGATCATCTAGTTCGACCTCCTGCACAACGCAGGCCACAGAATCTCACCCACCCACTCCTGCGATAAACCTCTCACCTATGTCTGAGCTATTGAAGTCCTCAAATCGTGGTTTAAAGACTTCAAGGAGCAGAGAATCCTCCAGCAAGTGACCTGTGCCCCATGCTACAGAGGAAGACGAAAAACCTCCAGGGCCTCTTCCAATCTGCCCTGGAGGAAAATTCCTTCCCGACCCCAAATATGGCGATCAGCTAAACCCTGAGCATATGGGCAAGATTCACCAGCCAGATATCCAGGAAAGAATTTTCTGTAGTAACTCAGATCCCACCCCATCTAACATCTCATCACAGGCCTTTGGGCCTATTTACCATGAATATTTAAAGATCAATTAATTACCAAAATCATGTTATCCCATCATACCATCTCCTCCATAAACTTATCCAGTTTAATCTTAAAGCCAGATAGGTCTTTTGCCCCCACTGCTTCCCTTGGAAGGCTATTCCAAAACTTCACTCCTTTGATGGTTAGAAACCTTTGTCTAATTTCAAGTCTAAACTTCCCAATGACCAGTTTATATCCATTTGTTCTTGTGTCCACATTGGTACTGAGCTTAAATAATTCCTCTCCCTCTCCGGTATTTATCTCTCTGATATATTTATAGAGAGCAATCATATCTCCCCTCAACCTTCTTTTAGCTAGGCTAAACAAGCCAAGCTCCTTGAGTCTCCTTTCATAAGACAGGTTTTCCTTTCCTCGGATCATCTTAGTAGCCCTTCTCTGTACCTGTTCCAGTTTGAATTCATCCTTCTTAAACATGGGAGACCAGAACTGCACACAGTATTCCAGGTGAGGTCTCACCAGTGCCTTGTATAACGGTACTAACACCTCCTTATCTCTACTGGAAATACCTCGCCTGATGCATCCCAAGACCGCATTAGCTTTTTTCACGGCTATATTACATTGGCGGCTCATAGTCATCCTATGATCAACCAATACTCCAAGGTCCTTCTCCTCCTCCATTACTTCTAATTGAGGCGTCCCCAGCTTATAACTAAAATTCTTGTTATTAATCCCTAAATGCATAACCTTACACTTCTCACTAAATTTCACCCTATTACTATTACTCCAGTTTACAAGGTCATCCAAATCTTCCTGTATGGTTTCCCGGTCCTAATTGACCAATGGCATATCGGTTGTGCCCTTAAGAGGTGTGTATTATTTAATCTTTTGCTTAAAAGAAAGTCCAGCAGAATTTCAACGTTGCACTTGACACACATCAGTCTGAAGACTTAGCCTCTGCTAGCCAAGGGGGGAAAAAGTATGCTGTCATATCCCACATGCCTTCAGTTTAAAAAAAATAAAATAGTAGTTTGTTGTTCAAACGCCACTGTATTTAACAATAACTTTATCAGTTTTTGATTAGATTTTTTCCAAATAATTTATTACTGAGCAAATCATAAGAAAAATAATTCAGATATATTATTAGATGCATTTTACTGGTATTTGATTAATATACTTGCAGCTTTCTAGCTAGTCACATAATGCAAAAAATTGTCAAAGTGTTCAGTGATTACTGGTGAAATTTCTTGAATGTTTTTAGCTGACTCGTGCTCAGTAATCCTCTACTTAATACATTGTTTTTGTTAATGTACGGAGAAGGAACTTGATCAACTCCGCTTTTGATCAACTCAACCCAAACAAACCCAGTAAGGATAAAATTGCAAACTTCAGGACAATCGGCCTGATAGTGAGTGTATGTATAAAAAGCCATCGTTGGATGAATTTGTGGTTAGATGAATTTAGTGTATTCCTAAAAATCAGAAGCTGTTTCCTAACTTTAATGAGTTTACAGTGCGTAAGATTGTGTCGTGGTTTCTATTCTAACTCCCCATTTTCAGCTGCTCACAGTTTTCTGAAACTTTTACCCTCTGTGATGAAGTTCTGTGTACTTGGTTTCTGTTCAAAAGTACTTTTTATT